CACAGCTTCTGCAACAGGTCCCCGGGGCAGTGCCCCACGGGGCAGTGACCCACGGGGCAGTGACCCACGGGGCAGTGACCCACGGGGCAGTGACCCACAGGTCCACTTCTAGATGAGTTCGCCTTCAGAAATGATGATGTTCTCTCCTTTCTTCAGATGAACCTCAGTGACACATAATGACCACAGGAGGCAGCAGTGGACCAGCAGCTCGTGTCATGTGATCAGTCCAGGAGGAAGTGGAAACTTTTTCTCTGTTGTGACAAAAAAAAAAGGCAACCGTTGTGTTTGGACTTTAGCCACAAAAACATGTCAAAGTCGAACCAGTTCCAGTTCCAGCTCTGATCTGTGTGTTTGTTCCACTGCTGGGATGGATGTTCTGACCATTAACGATCCTTCATTAAATATTAATGAGCTGGAGGTTGGTGCACCCCCCCCCCCTCCCTCCATCAGCTCCAGTGGATGTTAACGGTCTGTAGGACTGGAGACTGGAGGTCCAGAGGAATTTCCACCTGGGTTGTCGGTTCAACGTCTGGTCAAAGATTCACCGTCACATTGTGAAAATGTTTTTTCCCTCTTCTTTTTCATAATGTCAGATTTTCAAGCTGTTTTTTTTTTTTAAATTAAAGTTAAAGACAGTGTGTGTGTGTGTGTGTGGCGGCGATCACTGTTCATTAAAAAGTCTAAAGAAATTGGGCTGTGTCCCGGTTTAAAGACAGGCTGTGGCCCAGTTTTTCTGTTTTTTGTTTTTTTTTGTCCTTTGATTCAATAATGTTTCTGGTCATCACAGGAATCGAACCCTCTGACGAGCAGGTCTGAAAAAAACTCTGACAAGGAAAGGAAACGATGAGCCTCCTGCTCCTCCTCCGCCTGGGGTCGGTGGACGCAGCACTGACCCCTCCTGTTTAAGATTCTGTCCTGAACAGACGCAGCTTGTTGCGCAGGCGCAGCTCATTGAGTTTGGATGAAAGCGGAGCGAGGAGAGGAAAGGAGCGCAGAGGAGGAGGAGGATTGGATCGGACCGGACCGGACCGGACTGGACTGGTCTACTGGAGCCGGACTTGGACTCGGACTGGCAGCAGGAGGACATGGAGGTGCAGAGGAGGAGCAGCAGCATCAGCAGTGAGAGGAGGAGGATGAAGGAGGTGCAGAGCGGAGACAGAGTGACTCTGAAGAAGGAGATCGGTCTGTTGAGCGCCTGCACCATCATCATAGGTGAGGAGACTGATCTGAGGTCAGACCCACAGGAGGTCACTCTGTAAACCACGGAGTCCACTGGTTCCATCGAGGTTCGACTCCGTCCTCAAATGGGTCGGCCTCGTTTCCAGGAGTGTAGTAGTGACAGTAAGCCACCAGGCGGCGCCCCCAGTGTGTTTTCCTAATGCGTTTTATTGTTGTTCAGATCCGTGTCGGTGTCGGTGTGCTCCTCTGCTCAGTGCGTGTTTACACCGACAACAGCCGTCAGTACTGATTGTGTTCGAGGTGGAACTCACTGCTGCTGCAGAACTTTTGGACATGACACTGTTGGAGCAGCCAATCAGGGGCTGTGGTTCAGAAGGTGGCGCTAGTCTGCTTCCAGACAGTGTTGGTTCTGTCCCTTTAAAAAGTTCTTAAAACTGAATGAAAGTTAAAAGACGGTGACGTTTCAACATCCAGACAACGGTGTTGATTTGATGTTTTCATTGTTCTGTTTCTCCGCCCACTCAGGGAAGTACAGGAAGTAGGTCCTTCACAACAAGGGCAGAGAGACAGGAGTGCAGTCAAAGTGACAGATGGGTGCAGGTCAGGGATGGAGTCCACACTGCCCTACAACATGGCTAATTCAGGCAGCAGTTTTTTTACTGAATAATCACTCCTTTGTTTGTTTTTGTTTTTTTTTTCAACTTGTTTTTGATTGGCTGTGAATCCATAGAAAAACCTGTTAGCTGTAGCGCTACATTTTTCCTTTGTTTAACTGTCGTCTCGCTAACTCTACACTGGTTTTTCCTGTTCCTTAAGCTATCTTTTAGCCTCTGAGCTGACTCTCTGTTGTTGTTTTTTCTTTGTAAACATTTGGCTGTTTTTAGGCCACCTTTAACCTTTAACCCCAGCTGCTTCTCAGATTAGCTTCACTTTTCTCTGCGTGAACTTTTAGCCCAAACCATAGACCAGTTCTGACCAATGTCTGGAGTCTTGACCCAACTGACCTTTTTTAAAAAAAAGAAATAAAAAGCTACATAAAAAAGCTACATACAAAAGCAACTCCAAGCTAAGTCAGCTACATCTTTAGCCTGGAGGGGGTGTGTGGGTGTGTGGTGGGGGGGTGGGGTGGTCGTGTCTCTGCGTCCATCTAATGAATGTTGTCTTATGTAAGGACAGACTGTCCACTTGGCTGCCTCCTGCTGCGTTACTGCTGCCGCTGTAGTGTGAATGCGTCGGATGTGCTGCTCCTTACGCTGCACACTGAGCCCCTGAGCCTGAGTGATGGCCTCACCCCCCTCCGCCCCCTTTGTCTTTTAATGCCCAGTGTATAAACTGGTGGGGAACAGTGTGCGTCCCGTGACAGGTCGCTGAAGAGTTTCAAAGGGGTCACTGGCGGGTTTTTGGCGGGTCCCGTGTGACACGTGAAAAGAGTCACATGGGAAGAGCACGTGACTGGCTGCTTCATAAACACGTCTTCTCACGTCCTCTGGACTTTGGTTTGTGTTGAAAGTGAAGATCGTCGTCTCTCAAGTGTATTTCCATAGTACTGACTACACACACACACACACACTGACACCCAGGGAGGCTCCCGGTCGTGGAACACTCCAGAACTGCTCTGATCTAACATGGTGCTGGAGACACAGGCTGATTATAAAACTCCTGCTCTTCTTACAGAAGTCCACTGACAAAATCTGATCTAACATGGTGCTGGAGACACAAAACTCCTGCTCTTCATACAGAAGTCCACTGACAAATCTGACAAAACTTCTTCTTACTCAGGTACACACAGCAACTGCTTGTCCACGTTTGCTCCCTGTGGTCAATTTGTGTAATTCAGGTTCAATCTGAACCAATAACTTCAATTAGTGAATCACATAATTGAACTGATGGATGAGCAGCTGCTGTTTGACATGATGTAGAATTACACATTACACTCTGGTGCAAGAGAGTTGAACCTGTCACCCAAAGTCCATAGAGAGAGAAAATCAGTGGTTTCAGCTCACTGGGACTGATGGTCCACTGCTGTCTTTTATGTGTAATTTTGCATTATGGATAATAATATTATATGTAAAATGAGAGAATGAGGGAGTTCCTAAAAAATATTTTTATGGATTTAAAAAAAATACAATAAAATGATGTGAGAAATTAGCTAACTAAACCCCAGATGTTTGCTAACATCTGACTTCACTTCTAGGCTACAGGAAGTGTCTTCACACACTCTTGTACGTCTTCTCTTCTCCTCAGGAAACATCATTGGCTCTGGGATCTTCATCTCTCCGAAGGGCGTCTTGGAGCACTCTGGTTCTGTTGGTTTGGCCTTGGTGGTCTGGGTCCTGGGAGGATGCATCGCAGGTTTAGGCTCTATGTGCTACGCTGAGCTGGGCGTCACCATCCCTAAATCTGGAGGAGACTACTCCTATGTGACGGAGATCTTTGGTGGACTGATGGGGTGAAGTTTGTTTTCATTTACTGACTCATTAACTTATCACTTCATTGTTGTTTTTCTTAAGAGAGATTTAAGAAAGACACGGTACAAAGAAAGTTACTTAATGTAGTTAGTCAGTTAAGTAAACTTGTCAACTAGAGATGGTCCCTCATCTGGAGATGTCCACTGATTGGTGGACCACGCCTCCATCTGTCTCTCTGTGGTCCAGGTTTCTCCTCCTGTGGAGCGCCGTCGTCATCATGTACCCGACCACGCTGGCCGTCATCGCCCTCACCTTCTCCAACTACGTCCTGCAGCCCGTCTTCCCAAACTGTGTTCCACCGTACATGGCCACTAGGATGCTGTCAGCCACCTGTCTGTGTGAGTGTCTTCACCTCCCCCACCTCCCCCCTCTGTCTGTCCCACCAGCTCTGCTGCTGCTCCTTAGCAAAATGTAGAAGGAGAGTCAGGGGAAGGAGGGAGTGGAGGGGGGGGCACTTGTTGCCATGGGAGGTAGGAATGTGGGAAACGGGTGAGTGAGGGAGGGCAGCAGTTGTCTCACCTCGTCTGTCATTGACAGCATCTTTGTCTCTCTCTCTCCCTCTCTCTGTCTTTCTCTCTCTCCCCCCTTCTCTCTCTCTCTCTCTCTCTCTCTGTCTTTGGAGCAACACAAAGACCTGCTGTCAGAGCAGCACCAACAAAAACACTTCCGCTGTAAAGTGGCAGAACAACGCCGTGCTCCTAAGTCCAGCTCCAAACACAGAGCGTGAGCGATGGCGTCAGAGGCGAAGGATTGCCCGCTGTCAAAGGGACGTCATTCACTGGCTAGTGCCACAAAGGCCCCGGGAGGGGGGATGGGTGGGTTTGGTGGGGGGTAATTAGTGCTCAGTGCAGGTACTTGCAGGCAGGACACACAGCAATTAGGCAGCGTGACTGGTCAACAAAAAGCCCAGAGCCCAGAACCCAGGTCCTCTGTCCAGACCGCCTGGGTCCTAATTCAGATGTAGGCTGCATTCGTGGGCTGCATCCATGGGCTACTAGTTGTCCAAATAGGTCACAGTGCAGACACTGGTTCTGTTCCAGTGTGACAAGTTCACAACTTTGAGGTAAACAACTGACCCCCCCCCCTCCTCCTTTCACTTTACTTTTCCTCCCTCCTCCTCCTCCACCCCTGTGTTACCAGCTGCTCACCTGAAGGTGGCGCTTGTGTTTCTTGCTTCCAGTGCTGCTGACCTGGGTCAACTGCTCCAGCGTCCGTATGGCCACCAGGATCCAGGATGTGTTCACTGTGGGTAAACTCATGGCTCTGGGTCTGATCATCGTGGTGGGCCTGGTCCAGATCTTCAACGGTACCTGGTCCTGGTCCTGGTCCTGACACTTGACTTGTACAGGAATAAAATCCACTGTCTTCATCATTTGACTTTTACTTTCAGGGAACTACGAGGGCCTGACTCCTCAGGTGGCCTTTTCTATGGACAGGGCGCCCTCTGTTGGTCAGATTGCTCTGGCCTTCCTTCAGGCCTCCTTTGCCTTCAGTGGCTGGAACTTCCTGAACTATGTCACCGAGGAAGTGGTGGAACCCAGACGGTGAATATTTCAGTGTCAGAACTAAGAACAAGATAAAAAAAACATTTTTATTATAATTTTTTTTGTTTGGTTTTGTGTTGGTTGTTTTCATGCTCGTTCATCATGTTTTAAAACCTCTGTTCCTGTTGGATCTCTGCATGTTTCATGTCCATGTGTGGTCCTGGTGCTCCTGGTGTCAGGAACCTCCCTCGTGCCATCTTCATCTCCATTCCACTGGTCACCTTTGTGTACACCCTCACCAACATCGCCTACTTCTCCTCCATGTCTCCGGAGGAGCTGCTGTCGTCCAATGCTGTGGCTGTAGTGAGTAACCAGTCTGTCCACTCGTTAAAGGGACAGTCTACGCTTCTGTCCAATCGTGATGTGTTTTTTTTTTTTTGTGGTTGTCAACATTGACCTTGTAGCTCATCGGCCTCTAGATGGGGCTAAGTAAACGTTTATCGCCTTGTTCCAGGACTGTCCGTTAGGTCGTTTCATGCATCATCAGTGTAGTCCTGTGAAGTGGGTCAGAACTTTTTCACCGAGGACGGAGGGGAACATTCAGGACATGATGATGAAGACCACATCATCAACTGATGGCTCTGTTTTTTTTTTTAATTTTCAGACGTTTGGAGAGAAGCTCCTGGGAATGTTCTCTGTCATCATTCCCATCTCCGTGGCTCTGTCCACCTTTGGAGGCATCAACGGTTACCTGTTCACCTCCTCCAGGTGAGTGCCACCTCCAGGTGACTTCTGTTCTTCTCCATCACGACTGCTGTAGTGGCCCAGTCCGATGTGTGTGTCCTCAGGTTGTGTTTCTCAGGAGCCAGAGAAGGTCACCTGCCCAGTCTGCTGGCCATGATCCACTACAGGAAGCGGACGCCCAATC